GAAACAAAGAGAAAGAGGAGTTGAAGAAATCTGTGGAGGAGAGTATGCTGAAATTAAATTAGAATTAATAAAACAAATATACTGTTTGGTACGGTATGACACCAACCGGGATCACAAATGTGAAACCGATGTCGTGCCAAATAGTAACGGGATGACACGGTATCTGAAGGAAGTTGAGGTTCCACCCCAAAACCAATTGGCAATGGGGGGAGTAGCTCAACTCCTTATAAACTCAGGCTAGGTCCCTTAACTTTTCAATGTGGGACAAATACTCTCAACACGCCCCCGCACGTGTGGCGAACTTTCAAGCCTAACACGTGGACAACACATATTGGATGGCGTGGGAGCACGTGTGGCCGTTGGGCCCAACACGTGAAGCCTTGCTCTGATACCATGAAGGAAGTTGAGGTTCCACCCCAAAACCAATTGGCAATGGGGGGAGTAGCCCAACTCCTTATAAACTCAGGCTAGGTCCCTTAACTTTTCAATGTGGGACAAATACTCTCAACAGTATCATCCCGTTTACATGTCAACACCAAACGGGACGGCACGAGATTGGCACGATTTTAGGATGGTTTCGGTATTCCTGTTTTGATGCCCACCCCTACCCAATACAAGAACTAAAACAGAGGAAAACAAAGAAAATGAACTCAGTCCCACCCCTCGAGGGAAGTTGAGATTTCACCCTAAAACCAATTGGCAATGAGTGAGTAGCCCAACTCCTTAGCCGATGCAAGGTTTATAAACTTTAGGGTGAGGATCGTTGAAAAGTTGAGAGATGAGAGAGCAATATTGAAATGCAAGAGTATTTTTATTGAAAACTAGAGAGCACCAAGAGTTGTTCTTCTCATATGGCCGGGCATGTAAACTGCTTGCTTTTACATTTTCAAAGTGGGAAATGTGTTATGATTACATAAATTGTCCTTCCAATAATTATACAAATGTAAATTTACATGGGAATTTAAATTATTGAGCTGCCGACACTAAATCACAAAAGTCTCACTCTTATCCAATAACTACTACAAAAAAGTGACTCCCTTTGCAAGAAGGAACCATCATTATTAAAAGGTGATGTTTATTTTGGTAGTTCATCAATTTGTTAGACTAATTTCAACATGGACCACTTTTGATGGGTGTTTTTAACATGGGAGCTAATTTTCCCACTCCCTTTTTCTCCACTTACACTCTCTTTTGCTTTTTAATATTTTTTAATCAATTTTGTTCTTTTTTGTTCTTTCTCTTTCCTATTCTACCCTTATCCTACATTAATTTCTTTCTTCAATTTTTTTTTTCTTTATACTTAATTTTCCAACTTGTACTTAATTTTTATTTTTATTTTTCCTTTAATTTAGTAAGACATAATTAACAGTGTATATTTGTCTAGACAAGATTATATGGTCCACCTGCTGCAAAAACTCATGCCCCTTGGATAAACCTTGCATCGATATTGTTTTTCATTTTTTATTTTTAAAAAGAAACAAATTTAAGGTGGCCACAAAAAAGAATAACTAGACTCAATGGCATCGTTTTGGTGCCAAGTCATTTAAAAAAATAAAGGATGCGCAATAGACATTTCGACATTTCGTCGAGCAGCTGGTAGGCGCCTCCAAGGGGTCGCACCAGCAGCTCACCATAACCTCTGCAGCCATTTCATGGCTTCCAAGACCCCATGGTGGCTACGTCACTGCCTATTTTACCCAACACAGAAACTAACTCAAAAACAAAAACAAAAACAAAAACAAAATATGATAAATTCTCAGAAAATTTCCCATTCTTATATGACAACCCCAATTTCCACTACTACTTGGAAAAAAGCCTATTAAGCATAAGATCTTAGTAAGAAACACTGCTACTAGTTCACTGATAGCTTGTATCCACGGCATAAAGGGTGACATCAAAACTGATTTCAATACCATGAGATGACACATAAAAGGTAATGTCATGGAAATCGCATCAAGCTCCAGGTGGATTGATAGAAGGATTGTAGACTGTGTGAGGTTGAAGGCGGATTATGTGCCCAATAGGTGGGCAAAATCGATTGAAGGTCAAAGTTGGAAACAAGGTTCTTCAATTGCTGCAAGGTTCCTGGAGTTTTGCAATGGTCTTCAACAACAACAAGGGTCTGTGGCTGAACTGAACAAGAAGATGAGAGATGGCTATAGTGACAACTTCTTTGGATTCACGCTCTGACTTCTTTTTTAATTTTTAATTTTTTTGTTTAACTTTTCTTTATTTTAGTTATCAAAAGGTTAATTTAGGATAAGGGTATAATAGGAAAGAGAAAGATAAAAAAGAACAAAATTGATTAAAAGATATTAAAAAACAAAAAGGAGTGTAAGTGGAGAAAATGGGAGTGGGAAAATCAGCTCCCTAAAATTTGCCTAAAAATTTAAAGAGAGCTACAGTACAACTCAAAATTTTGAAAGAGATTTCAATCCTATATTGAATACAAAATAGATGTTCCTGTGCTAGATTTTTACAACAAATAATGTAATTAAACTTGGTTCAACAATTTTTCTTTTCTTCCCTTGCAGCCTCCTGCTTGGTATATTTACTGAAGCACCCACAAGACAAGCACCAATGACTATGGCCTGTGAACTCCTCTAGTTGCACCACAGCCCATTATAGAGGAAGGCAATTTTCCCACCTTATCAATTCCTGATTCAAACACCACACCCATTCCCATATAGAAATGAGACTCTATGTGGCAATGAAACGCCCAAGCCCCTGGATTATCTGCCCTGAATCTCAAAGCAGTCCACCCATAACGATGAACAGGCACAGTATTCTTCATGATAGGGTTCACCAAATTGTACTTCTTTGGATCATTGAACGTGTCAAACTTGCCCTCCCCATATCCCAGGACCCAGAAATCGTGCCCATGAAGATGCCATGGGTGCGTCTCGCTGTTGTTCGGGTTCATGGTGTTGGCATTTTGGAGTATAAGGTCCACTGTTGTATTGAACTGGAGCCTATAAATCCCATTGCTTACTGTAGCATTTGTGTAGTTTGGTGTCTTGTAAATGTCATAGTTTACAAAGTCGTACCCGTCAGGTGGAGATGTTTGATCAAATGCCTCAGTCAAGTTCTGCTTGAGGGCAATGAGATAAGGTGTGTGAGGATGAGTGAATGAGACATTGTTGACTGACCAGCGGACATAACCGTTGACTTTGTTTTGTGTGTTGAGAAGCACAATCACTCTGTCTGAGGTTGGGGGAGGGGTGTGGATGAAGCCTTGGTGTGCTTTGATGGCAAGACTTTGATCCAATCGGGCGCGTACGTTGTCCCAAGCAGGGCCTGCTGGGGGTACCGCCGGAGGAGATCTCCTCGGGTGGTTTGGATAGTAATTGAGAATGGCTAAACCAGGTGGGGTGGTGGCATTTCGGGTAACCACATTTGTTGTCATCCAATAATTTCTTGAAGGGTCTTGGTCTGCTTTTATTAGCACAGAATATGTCTCACCAGAATATAAGAACAGGTTCTTCACAACAAATGGCTCAACATAATGCCCGTCTGCCTCAACCACTGTCATATTATGGCCCTGCAACATGGACAAGTTTTGTTAATTATATGCTAATACTTAAAATTATGCAGATTGTGTTCTGCATACTACATGAACATAGATAAATTAGTACCTCTATTTGAAAACTGAGGGCAGACAGAGCAGTCAAGCTAGCAACCCTTAGTCGATACGTCTTGCCAGGGACGACTGTCATTGCGTAAGGGGAGCATTCGGGGTTCGTTGCATTACAAACATCAGGGTCTAAGCTTGGAGTGGTCAGTGTGGAGCAGTCGAATCTTCCTTTTCCTTGTATCAAAAGCGACTGAAATTTTGGCCAAAAGGAAAACCCATTAGCAAGTGCATTGACAGCAGCAAACAGTAAACTAGTAAATTCTATTTGTTACCCAAAAACTGAATTGAGAGGCAATTAATTACCTGAGGTTCCCCAACCCAGGCAAACTTAAGGGAGGACAGCCCAGCTGCGTGTTCATAAGTGCTCTTGTGGTACCAATCATTAAGTATGATGCTTCGATCATAATCGTAAGAAAAAGGCTCTGATTCTCCATCAGGAAGCGCTACACGGATCGAACCATATAAACCAGCTTCTCTCTGCATTCCATAATGAGCATGGTAGAGGTATGTTCCAGGCTGCAAAAGGCAATTTAATCATACATGGAGATCAGTATAAATTATTAATTCAACAACAACAACAATCTGTCTACCATGAAAATTATGTCCTACTTACCCTATCAACCACAAACTGATATTTGAAGGTGTCTCCAGGCACTATTGGGCATTGAGTCACACCTTCAGTTCCATCACTCCATGGTGTTCCAATCTGCAACCGAAAAAAGAAGCACACTTTCAGATGCTATGAAACATAAAAAAAAAGTTTGCTGATCAAATAACAAATAAATAGGAATTGAGGAAATTACGACGATTGTACCTGTCGAATTCCATGCCAATGTATGGCTACATTTTCTGTCCATAAACTGTTTGTAAGCTCAACAATGATGGTGTCTCCCTGCTGAGCAAGTATGGTTGGTCCAGGAGATCTACCATTAATGGTTAGGACCAGCTTCTTGAAGCAATCAGGGGACTTGTACTCATACTTCACCTCCCATTTGTAATTCCTAATTCTAGCCTCCACTGCTGGAACCTCAACCAAAGACAAGAACAGAAACAAAGCCAGAAATAACTTTAAAATGCAACCATTTCTCTGTAAAAGCTCAACCATTTCTCTTTGGAACCTTTAGAAGCTCACTGAAAAAACTGCAGTGACTCTATTTGAAAGTTGATGCAATAATAATAATATTGGGCGCTGTTGCTTCCTCAAACTCAAATTGGCGCTTTTTGTAAAAGTGCTAGCTGCTTCAATTGCTTTTCCCCCTCCAGCTCTATATATAGTGTCTGAGTCTTTGGTCAAACATGGTGGCTAAAGACTTGATCAATTACTGGGCATTTTCCTGTTTATGAGCTTGTGAAAGTGCTAGCTGCTTCAATTTTCCTGTTTGGCGCGTTTTGTGAAAATGCTAGCTGCTTCAATTGCTTTTCCCCCTCCATCTCTATATGTAGCGTCTGAGTCTTTGGTCAAACATGGTAGCTACAGACTCAATCAATTACACAGTGAAACCATGAAATTACTGGGTATTTTCCTATGAAGCTGACCTCTTCAAAATTATTTGCAAACATCAGGAAGGTGGAAGAGATCCTTAGGAATTTGTCTCGTTGACGTCAATCTGTTAATAACCTTGAGTTAGTTTGTATTGGTCAAACCAACTCCATGTGCCAAGTTGTATTTTTATGTTTCTTTTTGGCGCCGAAATGTTGTGCTATATCATGTCAAGACAAGAGAAAGTAATTAAGAAAACGCGTTGTTTCAGGCTTTGGTTTTGCAGCAATAAGAAGACATACTATACAATGGATATAAGCTTAGAGGTATTTGAGATGAATTTTTTTGTGGGGTTCATTATACTTTGTATTTCAACCATTCGAACAAAATATCTTTTTTTTTCTTTATTCATAAAAGCGATATAAACACATTAATTAATAAAAGGACAACCATTTGATTGAGAAGATGGAAGAATCGTCCAGTTATTGCTGATTAAATATTTTATCGAATTACACTTGTGTATTTTATATGGCGGAAAAAAGTGCATACGTATCCCTCTACTTTATCCTATCTACACAAGTGATCGGGTGGTCTATTTTGTGACCCTATTAAGTATTATCCTCTACAATAAATATTATTTAAGAAATATCATTGTGAGACCTTTATGGTGTAGGTTCACGAGGCCCCTCGCCTTAGCTGGAGCTTCATCAAAGTTTGCTCTGCATTGACCCGTTGACCAATAGATGAAAGTGATGCCGCCAGAAAATAGTAATAAGCATGGTGCCCAATCCAAACATATCCATGCAAGATTACCCCACCATTCCCAGTATGGAACTAATTAGTACTCAAAAAAGGGTTTTTACATGTCTATAAATAGGGTCCAAAATTTATTAGTTTATATAAATTATAATTGAATTAATACATTAGTTTTATTAGTTATATGATTAAAATTATATATATATATATTGTAGTTTCATTGTCTAAGCGTCAAACTATAGAGACCAAAAGTGACTTTTGGCCTTATAATAAAACCCAGCTAAGAGGTGTTTGTACAATCAAACACTAAACAAACCGTTTAAATCAAAGGAGGCTATAGACAAAATGCTGTGTAGAGTTTACCAGGTCACCAACATTCAGACATCATCTTCTTCAAAATTTATTAGTTTATATAAATTATAATTGAATTAATACATTAGTTTTATTAGTTATATGATTAAAATAATATATATATTGTAGTTTCAATACCCTTGAATAGATAACATAAGTTATACAAATAATTTGACATGAAATAGGATTGTCTTTCAATTGCTACAAAAATGAAACTACAACAGCAAAATTGACGGAATTGAAACTACAGGATTAAAAGTGGTTGAAGTGTCAAACTACAAGAACCAAAAGTAACTTTTGGCCTTATAATAAAACCCAATTGAGAGGTGTTTGTACAATCAAACACTAAATAAACTGTTTAAATCAAAGGAGGCTATAGACAAAACGGTGCATAGAGTTTATTAGGTCACCAACACTCAGACATCGTCTTCTTCGAGAGGCGCACAGTGTCACCTCTACAAAATTTCAGGAAAAAAAATCCTTGTCGTAGCTTTGAGTCAAAACACACAAGAAACCACATCCCAAACGCTTAAATTCCAATTCAAAATCTTTCTGGGTTTTCTCTGTCTCTCTATTTATCTCTCTTTGAGGCATTTAGTAAAAAACATGGTGGCCACCAGCAGGTGGGGCATATTACGGCCTCTCCAAAGGATTTTCTGGCAAGGGAAGGTGCAGTTGCACCTCTTTATTACACTTCTGTGGGTCCGC